TTAAATTCAAAGATTCGCGGGGCTTTTCCTGTCTACCTGGCCAGTGCATCCGAGTTCAGATTGCTGTCCAGAGCGGTCACAATGGTGCACTGTGGGATAGCTCCCGGAGGCCAATACCATCGAATTGCGGCCACACTAACCCTAATTTGAAATGCTAAAATCGATTTTGGCGCTACTCCGCTCGTCGGGGTGGAGTACAGAAATCGATTTAAAGGGCCCTTTATTTCGAATTAAATGGCGTCGTTGTGTGGACGGGTGCAGGGTTAATTCGAATTAACGCTGCTAAATCCGAATTAAAGTCGTAGTGTAGACCACGCCTGAGGCACAACTCTGCTGCAAAAACTAGGCTCCAGCCAGGGGTGGCTCCAGGCACCAGCTTAACAAGCAGGTGCTTGGGGAGGCCAAGGGAGAGGGGCGGCACCTGCGGCAATTCGGGGGCAGCAGGTCTCTCACTCCCTCTGGGAGCCAAGGACCTGCCGCTGAACTGCCGCCGCCGATCGCGGCTTTTTGTTGTTGTTGTTGTTGCTTGGGCGGCAGAAATGCTGGAGCCGACCCTGGCTCTAGCATCTGGATCCCGCCGAAGGTTGGTCACCACTAGCCCAGAAATTGTACCATCAAATAGGGACCAAATAGGTCACCACTAGCCCAGAAATTGTACCATCAAAAACGGCTCCTGCCGTTCCGTGCTATATCCGGACCCCAACTAGCCTGGTGCAAGAAAACGGAAGTCTTCAAGGCGGCCCCTGTATACTCCTGAGATCCAGCGAACGCTGAGTGTATCCCGCCCCCGGTTTACTGCCTAACCCAGGGCCGACGCCCCTTCTCCTAGCCCGCCGGGGAAAGCCGATCGCACGTTCCCCGGGTGTTTGCAGCCCCCGGCTGGGTGGCTGAAGAAGCGGCCAGCAAGCTGCAGGGACGCCTGGCGGGCCGGACTGCGGGCAGTGCAACTTGCAGGGCGGGGTCTCAGAGGGACAGGTTGGAGCTCGCTGCGGGTGCCAGGTGCGGTGCTGACACGGCGGCCGGGGCTGGGCCGCCTCGGGCTCTGGAGCTGGGCGCAAGGGGAGAGGCTGGGGCAGAGCGTCCGGCTGCAGCTTGACCCAATCCCAGCCAGGGAAGACCCAGAGGAGCGGCGGCGAGAGCTTAAGCCGCTCCTCCCGCAGCGCACCGCTCCACCGCGTCCCGGGCAGGGGCAGGCGCTGCCAAGACTCGGGGGCTGGGGACGCCTCCGGGCAAAGAAGCTGGGCGGGTCCGGGGCGGACCCGGGCGGGGTCCCCGAGACCCTCTCACCGGCCTGTGCAGACACTGGGCTGGGCTGCCGCTGGGCACCGGCTGGCTCCGCGGGACCAGAGGAGCGTCTCGCAAGCTGGAGCCGGGGCCGCCGGGCCAAGCAGCTCCGGGAGCAGCCAAGCGCCCGCTCCTCGCCTGGCGGCTCCGGCGCTCCCCTGGCAACTGCAGCAGGACAGAGCCGGGGGCCCGAAGAGAACCAGCGGGTAAGTGGCTGCACGCCGTGCCAGATGTGGTCCCGGGGATGGGGTGGCTCCGGAGCGCCCTGGGTGCGGGGTCTGACTGTGGGGGCTCCCCTGGGGCAGCGGGAACGGCAGTGGGCCCGTTGCCAGAGGAGGGAGGCTGGGGGCGCTGGAGTGGCTGGGTCCGGGAGCAGAGCCGCCGCTCTCTCAGGTCTGTCACGGCTCATGCCTGGCCCAGCCGGGGCTGTGCTCAGAGGGCCCCCTCAGGGATGTGAACGTGTAAGGAGAATTGAAGTCCTAGCTTTCCCCTCTCAGGAAAAGCCCCCCAGAGATTAAGGCACAGGGGACCCCACCCAAGGATTCCTGCATCCATCTGATGAAGCAAGAGCAGATCTTTTAGAAGACATCAACCTGGATTTAAAGCCACCCAGGGATAGACATTTTACCCCATCCCTTGGTAATCGTTTTTAATTGTTTATCACTAGCACTGGTCAAAAACTTCTCAACAAAACTTTCTTCCATCAAAAAATGCGGTTTTGTCTAAACCAAAATGTTTCATGAAAGCAGATTGCTTTAAATTTAAATGTTGTCAGGAGGGTTTCTAAGGTCTGGTATAAAAATTCTGGTCAGAGAGGGATTGCGACCTACACCAGAATAGCCACGAGGGAGGGGGCTGCCTACAATGACATGTAGCTGATCTGCCAGAGCTAGCAGCAAATATCACCAATGACTGGTGATGGGACATTAGATGGGGAAAGCTCTGAATGACTGAAGAAAATGTTTACCACCTCTCTGGCTGGTGGGTCTTGTCCACATGCTCAGGATCTAACTGATCACCATATTTGGGGCCAGGAAGGAATTTCCCCCACCTCAGATTGGCAGAGACCCTGGGGTTATTTCCCCTTCGAGACCCTGGGGTTATTTCCCCTTCCTCTGCAGCATGTGGCATGGATCATTCACTGGTTTAAATTAGTGTAAATGGTGGAGTCTCCGTAACTTGAAGTCTTTCAACCATGATTTGAGGACTTCAGTAACTCAGCCAGAGGTTCTGGGTCTATTACAGGAGCCAGTAGGCGAGGTTCTGTGGTTTGCGAGGTGCAGGTCAGACTAGATGATCACGATGGTTCCTTCTGACCTTAAAGTCTCTGAGTCAAGGTTAGGGCTCAGCAGGCTATAGTCAATCTTTCTCTCAATCTCTTATGTGGGAGCTGGAGCTGATCCACGTTGTATAAATAATTAAATATTCTTTGGGGCAGAAAGAGAGACTGACTGGCTAACATTAGCCAAGCAGCTAGTGCCTGCCTCTTCTCACCCTCTTACGACAATCACATCCTCTTTGGCAGGAGCTAATGGGTAACGTTTTCAAAAGTCCATAAGTGATTTAGGCTCAATAGCCCCTTTCATTTTCAATGAAAATTAGACTCGTAAGTGCTGTGTTATAATACAACCATACAGGGTGTTAAACAACCTCTCTTCCGGGCAGGGACGCTGGAACAATTTGTATCGTGGGAGTGCTAAAAGCCATTGAACCAAACTGTAAACCGTGTATATAATGGAAACCACTTCAAGCCAGGCGGTGCGGCAGCAACCCCAGTACCCCTAGTTCCTGCACCTATGCCTCTGGGAACCCAATGGCCAATGTCATTTGGGTCAGATGTCTGCGAAGAGCCATATTGGCTTTCGTCTCCCTGTAACAATGCTGGTTCAGGCGGGACCCAACTGAGCGTGCCAATTCAGGACAAATTGCTCAAACCAGGGCAGTTACAGCCCAAGGCTGGGGTTTTTCCACCTCTAAGGCAAACCAAACCAGCCAGACAAAGAGGACTTTGGTCTCATCCCACTGGCTAACCACAAGTCACACAAGCAATTCCCTTAGACACTCCAGTTTCCCAGTATCACCACCAGTGCCACTCGTTATGGGGACGAATGGTTATGAAAAACCAAACCCCAGTAAAAGAAAAAAAAGGTTCTCTCGATCCCAAAGAATCAAGTCCCAGACCCAGGTCAATATACAAATCAGATCTTACCCACAAATCACGCTGTTGCCAATCCTTTAGAATCTAAAAGCTAAAGGTTTATTCATAAAAGGAAAAAGATATAGATGAAAGCCAGAATTGGTTAAATGGAATCAATTACATACAGTAATGGCAAAGTTCTTGGTTCAGGCTTGTAGCAGTGACAGAATAAACTGCAGGTTCAAATCAAGTCTCTGGAGTACATCCCCAGCTGCGAAGGGTCATCAGTCCTTTGTGTAGAGCTTCCATTTGTAGCAAAGTCCCTCCAGAGGTATGAAGCAGGATTGAAGACAAGATGGAGATGAGGCATCAGCCTTTTATAGGATTTTCCAGGTGTAAGAACATCTCTTTGTTCTTACTGTGGAAAATTACAGCAAAATGGAGTCTGGAGTCACATGGGCAAGTTCCTGCATACTTTGCTGAGTTACAAGGCATAGCTGCCTTCTCTCAATAGGTCAATTGTATAGCTGATGGTCCTTAATGGGCCATCAAGCAGGCTAGGCAGAGCTAACACCAACTTGTCTGGGTTGTCTCCCAGAAGCATAGCATAAGTTTGAATTACAGACAGTATAGAGCCAATATTCATAACTTCAACTACAAAATTGATACACACATATAGATAGCATAATCATAACCAGCAAACCATAACCTTATCTTAGACACCTCATTTGACTCCCTTTATACAAGATTTGGTGCCACTAAGGGACTTTGGTTGCAACAATGTTCTATACGGTCCCAGTTCAAGTCAATAACGTGACACTCCCCCACACTCACTCTGACACACACATGCTCAAAATGGCATCTGTGCCAGAGAATTTAAGCTCTACAACACTTTTCTCTGAAATATCAAATCCCACATCCATTGGCCACACTGTCCCCAACCCCCTTTCCCTCCCCTCCCAGACAACTGCTGCCACCCCATGTGCTCAAAGTGGCATCTGTGATGGTAGGATTTAAGCTCTGAAATATCAAAACATTCCTTCTCCCTCCCAATCATCCACCACTCCCCACGCACACACATTCACATACTCAAGCTGGCAGCGCCACAGGGGTTAAAAATCAATCACATTGTGATGCACGCATGTGTATGGAAAAGGCAGATACAGAAAGAGAAAATACAATATCAAAAGTACTTTGCTTCTTCCCATTTGAGCAATGCTCTGAGCTTTCATCTGCCTTAGCTTTTCATGCTAAACATTTCTCAAAGTGAGATATTTCAAAATGCATACAGATTACAAGGCACTCAGTGTCTTTTAAGCAGACTCTTTGCATTTTTAACCCCTTGGGTACTGCAGAAGTCTACTTATTTTGCAGTGCACTTTGTGCTGATCTGCAGATGTTATAAAAGAGGAATTAAGGTGAAGTTAGTGCTCTATTTTGGCACAGACATGGCAAGGCAAAGCAGGGCTGCCTGGATAGGTGATGTTACTCTCCTGGATGGTCCTTCCAGAGCTGTTGCAGGACTGGTGGGTAACATCACTGCCTATCTTTCTGGTCTGCCCAGTGTCTTTTTTTGAACATGAACCTTCTCTGCCTCTTAGCCTCCAAAAAAAGGACAGCCTGCAGAGGTGCACATGCAATTATTACCCTGCCCCCTGCGGGCCCCCACCCATTCCCACCCACACACCAACCGTAAGCCCACCACCAGTCCGCGATTGGTACAGTGTTCCTGTGCAAAGGAGAAGTAAGGTGGAAAACCTCCACCTCCTTACCATCTCCAAGCTCATCCCAAACTGGAAAGAGATTAATAGTGTTCCAAACTAGAGGAAGAAGCAATATGTTATCATTATTGCCGTGGAGACCTGAACCAATACAATGACTTTGTTCTGCATTTCCACTCGCCCAACTCCTACACCTGACATGCTGTGCCCTCCCACCCTCTGGACAGGAGCATTATCACCCCCACAATGCTTGGCTAATCTGCAGGTCAAGAAAAGGAAAACACAAGATGAGACGTTTGGGGACCTCGTGTCTGTATCCCAGAAGAGGGATAAGAAGACCAAGGAGTGAAGGGAAGGTCTCCTTGCAGAGAGAGAGACAGAAAGTTGACATAGGACAGCACTGAGAAAGATAGAGACATGCAGAAACAGGTGCTGGAGTTGATGCAGACAGTCCTGTTGGAAAATATTCTGGTGTAATGTTCCTGCCCATCTCCTCAACCTAGCCATCTCCTGCAGCACATGGGGAACAACACATATGGGGACAACAGTACACTTCCCCAAGTTTCATCCACAGGCACGTCCCTTCCCACTCCACACACCAAGACCACAAGCACAGAGAACACCTTCACTCATTCAGCCCACCTTCATTCCTGAAGATACAGCTGATGGGTTCTGCCCTAGCCATTCTACACCCCAAGACAAGGGGCAACGTGAAAAAACCCTGCACCTACACATTTGTGACCAGAGGAGCACAAATGTGCACTCTGTACCTTAGGCATGCATGCCTCATCTGCACTGATATGTTCCATAAAGCTTGCACTGTTTCATATTGTGGTTTATGTTCCACTGGTTTTAAGTTTGCCCTGTATATGTTCAGCTTCTCTGAACATGTTCATAGCATTCTGAAAGTCTCTGCACTTCTGCTTTCACCCATTGGCGAGGCTCTCTCCCTGCTCTCACAGATGTTGTGCAAAACACAGCACACAGTGATCACATGATGAGGATTCTGCACAAAAGCCTTCTGTCTCATCACGAGACAACACCATCTCCCTTTCAGCCTTCCAAATGCCCATTCCACTGTCATTCTGCAGCTACTCAGGGTAGAGTTGAACAGCTCCTTTCTCCTGTCCACGTACCTAGTAAAAACTTCATAAGCCAGGAAAGCTGAGAGTAAGATTGGTCTCATAGAACCATAGGGTTAGAAGAGACCACAAGGGTCATCTAGTCTAACCCCCTGCCAAGATGCAGCATTTGTTGTGTCTGAACACCAGATGGCTCCAGCCTCCTTTTGAAAACCTCCAGTGAAGGAGCTTCCACAACCTTGCCATTGTCCTACTCTTCTTACAGTTAGGAAGTTTATCCTGAGATTTAATCTAAATCTGCTATGCTGTAGTTTGAACCCATTGCCTCTTGTCCTGCCCTATATGGCAAAAGAGAACAACTTTTCTCCATCTTTTTTATGGGAACCTTTCAAATATCATATCCCTCCTTAATCTCCTCTTCCAAACTAAACATACGCAGTCACTTCAGCCTTTGCTCATATGACTTGCATTCCATCTCTCTGATCATCTTTGTCGCTCACCTCTGGATCCTTTCCAGTTTCTCTACATCCTATGTACATTGGTGACCAAAATTGGACACTGTACTCCAGCTGAGGCCTAACCAGCGCCGAGGAGAGCAGTACTATCACCTTCCATGACTTGCATGATATGCCTCTGTTAATGCAGCCTAAAATTACATTTGCTTTTTTTGCAATAGCATCGCATTGCTGACTTATGTTGAGGTTGTGATCCACCATAACTCCCAGATCCTTCCTCCATTCTGTCGGTGTGCATTTGTTTTTTCTTCCCTAACTGCCGATTTCAAAGCTTGTTTAATTGTCTGCACAAATCTTTCAGCTAATCCTTTGGTGGATGGATGATATGGTGCTGAAGTGATGTGGTGTATCCCATTTGCCTTCATAAAATTTTGAAACTCCTGAGAGACGAACTGCGGTCCGTTGTTGCTCACAAGTTGTTCTGGCAGACCGAAACGACTAACGAGTCCTCGTAGTTTTTGGATAGTACTCTCTGCAGTAGTGGACTGCATTATAGAGACTTCTGGCCATTTAGAATGGGCATCTACCACCACCAAGAACATGCTTCCTTCAAGGGGGCCAGCGAAGTCAATGTGAATACGTTGCCATGGGTTTTCAGGCCAGTCCCATGGGTGTAGGGGTGCTACTGGGGTGCATCCTCACATCCTGACATGACATACAAGCTCTTGCCTTCTCTTCAATAGCACTGTCCAATCCAGGCCACCAAAAATAGCTTTGTCAAATTTCCTTCATGCGCACTATTCCACAGTGATCTGAAAGCAGCTGTTCTAACATCTGTGATCTCAGTTATGGTGGGATAATGACACGTCTCCCCCACAACAAACAACCAGATTGGATCAATAACTCCATCCTCCTGGTCATGTAGGTAACAAGGTTGGGTGAGACTGGAGAGGTTCCATGCATCACCAGGTCCATAACTTGGGACAATACTGGGTCAACTCGAGTTGCCTTCTTTACCTGAGTAGCGGTGATGGGTGTATTCTCTACCTGTTCAAAGTAAAAGATTTCCTTCTGGGCAGTTTGACGTTTGACTGGCAAAGGCAGCCTTGAGAGACCATCACATTGCCGTGCAGAGTGGATTTCCAGTATTTGATTTCATATGTGTCCGCGGAAAGCAACAATGCCCAACGTTGCATATCCAGCTAATGGGGGAATATTGCAGCTAATGGGGGAATGCCTGTGTGAGGTCCAAAAATTGAAGTCAGGGGTTGATGGTCTGTGAGAAGAGTAAACTTCCGTCTGAACAGGTACTGATGAAACTTCCGAATTCCGAAAATGATTCCCAAAGCCTCACCTTCGATTTGGACATAGTTAGTTTCTGCTTTGCTTAGAGTTCATGAAGCAAAAGCAATAGGCCTCTATTCTCCCGAAGGCATAATGTGTGACACGACTGCTCCCACTCCATAAGGGTATGTATTGCAGGCCAACTGTAGGGGTAAGGATGGATCAAAGTGCGTCAGAACTTCAGAATTTAGCAATGCATCCTTAGCTTTGTTAAATGCAACATCACAGGCTTCAGTCCACTTCCAGGCCTTGTTCTGCCCAAGGAGTTCATGAAGTGGTTTTAGCTGTGTGGCTAACTGTGAGATGAACTTTCTGTAATAGTTCAATAGTCCTAGAAACAAGTGAAGCTGGCTAACGTTTCGAGGAGGGGGAGTCTCCACAATAGCCTTAATTTTTGCAGGGGCCTTACGAAGACCTGTAGCATCAATGATGTGTCCCAAATATTCAACAGAGGGCTGGAAGAATTCACACTTGTCTTTGCGGACTCGTAGGGCATACTCTTCCAGTCTTTGTAGGGTAGCCTCTAAATTCTAGCAAGAACAAGTACTGATTTTGCCCCAGATCCCTAAGTGGCCCCCTCAAGGATTGAACTCACAACCCTGGGTTTAGCAGGCCAATACTCAAACCACTGAGCTATCTCTCCCCCATCTCTCCTCTGGTCCATAGTTCTCTGGAACAGGGCGGGAGCAGACGTTATTCCAAAGGGTAGGCGACAGTATCGATAAAGCCCCTTATGCGTCACAATAGTCAACAGCTCTGGGGACTTTTAATTGACGTGCATCTGTAAATATGCTTGACTCAGATCAATCTTACTGAACTTTTGTCCCCCCAGCCAGGCCTGCAAAGAGATCATCGATGCAGGGAAGCAGGTATTGGTCTGCACACAACACTGGGTTGACAGTGACTTTAAAATCACCGCAAATCCGGAGGGAGCCATCTTTCTTCACTATTGGAACAATAGGAGTTGCCCATGGGCTTTGGATAACTGGTATTAGGACTCCATTTGTGACCCTTCACCTCACTGATGAAGAGCTGTAAACCTTGAAAGCAGCCATTTATTGCCACACCCTGAACTAACCAAAAACGAGCCAAAACTGGCTGGGCCATCCCCTAATAATCTAACTCAGTTGCCGTAGCAATACAAGTCTCTATTACCACGACAACCAAATACACAACAGGTAGGCTTGATGGGAACTTAAAAGTGGGCTAGTCCAAATATTAGTAAGTGGCCAGTAGGGAACAGTCCTGTGCAGGGCCCAGGGAGGTGGGCTAGATGGGAGCTCAAAGGGCTTCACCATATCTGCTTCTCTGTTATCAAAGGCAATGTTTATTGGTGGAGATTTCAGCTGGTTTACAAAGAACCAATTCCTGATTATTGCTTTCTTGTATTTGGAGGCGGGATGTGTGTCCAGAGCACGCAGCATTGGCCTATCTCTGCTCCCATTGGAAACCATGTGAAATTCCCATGGACTGCAGTGGGAGGAGAGCTAGGCCAATGCTGCGTGCTCTGGAAAATCCCCTCCACAGTTCTCGACATGCTCTGGGTAATTTAGACATAAACATTATAACAATGATTACAATTTATGTAGGGAGAGGTGGGGGAAACTGAGGTCTGGTGAAGATCTCAAGGTTGTAGCATTTGGGTGACAAAGAGGAGGTTGGGCATGTGATGCTTGCAGTGAGTGGGGAGTTGCTGCAGGTTTATCCATTAGCTAATAGCAGAGGAGGTGGCTTTATCCATTAGCTAATAGCAGAGGAGGTGGCCCTGCCTCACTCACCCAGGCAGAGTTCTGCTGTGGACTTAGTCCTGACAAATCTCACCTCCCAGCTTCTTCTTTGATTGACACAAAAGTGAGCTTGACAGAACAGCTGCCAGGCAAGGGTTCAGGACCCTGCTCTTTAACCCAGACCCCGTGGGCAGCAGCCTGGGCCATCATACCACACTGACGCATCCAAGTACCAGGGAATTCACAGACATGGGTGGGCCAGCTTTAAGGGTTCCCCAACCTGCTTCCTGATTGGCCACATGTTCTTGACCTTGATTAGCTGTGACTATATATAAACTTCCTTCTTCCTTTCTGGCCTTGTCTGAACAGCAAGACTTGCCTGCTAGTTGCTACTCAGACCCTGCCTGACCCTTCCTTGCTGCCTAACCTGATCCTTTCTTGCTGCCTCACCTGACCCCACCAGCTGCTGTGCTGTACTTTCTGCTGGGATTGGGTACCCTGGCTATTGGACCCCTTCTCCAAGGAAAGGGGGCATGGAACCTGCAGGAGCAGCATCACTGGCACCCTCTGGACCATCAAATCCCCAGGAGCAAATCAACCTCTTACAAGCAGAAAACCAAGCCCTACAGGCCGCAGCAGACCAGCTCAAGGCAGAAACCCTCATCCTTCAGAAACGGACTACAGAGCTGCAAATGGGAATGCTTTCTCCAGCCCCATCACCTACAGCTTCCTCAGTATCCAAGCCCATGGTGTCTTTCCTGGAGCATTACAATGGTACCTGCAATAAATTTTACAAATCAATGCAGGCTTGTATATATGTTGCAGCCCCATGTCTATGTGAGAGACCAGGCCAAGGAAGACCTGGTCTTTAATCTCCTCACTGGCAAAGCCCTAGACTGGGTTTCTCCCCTGTTGGAATGGATCATCTTATGTTAGATAGCTGGGACTCCTTCCTGAGGGCTTTAGCAACAATTTTCGATGATTCACATCAGGCCCACACTGCAGAAGCAGCCTTACAGAGGCTCTGTCATGCCTCAGGATAAGCAGCATTGTATTCGGGCTGCTTCCGATGCCTGGCAGCAGATAGGGCTTGGAATGAGCCAGTCCAGCTACATCAATGTGATAAAAGACTAAGTGGCCCACCTGGAGCCCCACACGGGACTCAATGCCATCATTGGACTTGGTATTTGGATTGACATTTGGGTTAGCAGTAATGCAAGAGGACCCATTTTGTGCCCAGGTTCCACCTGAAACCCCCCAGCCTGAGCCCAAGCAGGTGGACACCCTTCTGAATGGGGACACCGGTGGTGAGAAAATTTATGTTTTTACTGTTGCACCATGGGCCATGTGGCATTTGACTATCCAGCCAAAGCCCCAAATCACACGGCTTCAGAAAAATGTCCCTGCCCACCCGTGTTCAGGGGGTGGAGCCTGGGTAACATAGGAGACCCCACTCGCCAAGCCCTTCCAGACATCTGCCCCACCTCCTCAAAATAATTCCTTCACTTACAGCTCCCACTACAATTTCAATTTCAGGGCTCCAGACAAGCTTTTCCCCTCCAGTGGCTTTGACTGACCTGGGGCAAGGGCTCATTTCATGGATGCCACTGTAGCCCAAGCACTTGGTCTCCCTGTACAGACAGAGCGCCTCTGATCCTGTCAGTCAGGAAGCCATTGTTCTGGACACTGTACATGGGGAACACTGTGACATTAGACTCCATATTCTTTATGAAAATATGCTTATGATATGGGTATGACATAATTGAGATGTCCTTTATGCAAGGTGGCTCATGTAAGATATCATTGGAAAGGTTTTGATTTACTGAATGTGATATCCAATTTGTATGCCTGTATCGTTTCTGTATCTGAAATTAGGAATATTGAGTATTTATCTGTATTTCAAATGGGTTACTTTGGATGTCACCCCCAACTAGCCTTTCAGGTACAACAGTGAGAAAGACAGACAGTGCTAATGGCCCATCAGCAAAGACAATGGACTGTTAAAGAGCTTAGTCTTCCTGTGGACGCTCGAGACAGCCTACGAGCAATGGCTGCCACAGTCATCAGAGACATGGGTCCAAATCACCTGGGACTGGATACCCCTCCTCACCTTTTGGAATGCCAGTGTTTTTCTACTGGAAGACAAAGTGTTCCTGCCTTACACAAGAGCGATATAAGGCAGGGGAGTGACATCATCGTGGTTCTCCTCTACCTCCCCACCAAAAGAGACACTGAAAAACACCTGGAAGCAAGAACTGAACTGTGGGGAGAAGGGTTGAGCCCAAGCTGGAAGGGTGTCTAGCTTGTGAGTAATAAGACCCGAGGTCTCAAGCTGGAGACTAGTGCAGCAGCCTTTCAAGACTTTCTGTAATCTGCCTGCAACAATATCTAGGGTGAGAAATTACTATTTGTAACCAATTTCTTTAGTGAAACAAGCTTAGTTTGCGTGTTTTGTTTTATCTGCTTAGTGATCTGCTTTGTTCTGTTTGCTATCTCTTTAACCACTTAAAATTCACCTTTTGTAGTTAATAAACTTTATTTCTTGTTTATAATATAATCCCGTTTGTGCCTCCACATTGATGGAGGAGGCAGGTTTCATAATATACCTTTGGGACTGCACTCCAAGGGAGGTGGACACCCGAGTGCTGGGGCAAATCCCTTAAGCTGAGTTTTCCCAGAGCTGGTCTCAGTGTTTGTGTAGTTCTGCAGTTGGGTGTGGCCCTGCCTGTGTGTGTATGTTGGAGGAGGCTTAATAGCCTGGCTCAGCAAGACAGGTAAAAAGGGTGCCCAGGCTGGCAGAACAGGTGGGCTCAGTGGTATCTCAGCACATCAGGTTGCATCTCAAAAGGGGGAAAAACATCAGAAACACTGTGAACTCCTTCAGTTCAGCCTAATGCAGTCACCACACTTTCTGTGATACATGGAATCCCCTGGCTGGCCAAGTGTCTTCTGGTGGCAGCACATTGTGACATTTAACTTGTAGTACTGCTAAACCAGCTGCCTTTTGGCCCTGTGGCCCAGGTTCCTATAATCCCCAGCCAGACCCATTTGGGATTCAGGTATGTTGAGGGGTGCATGGGCTTGAGCAGCTGAATGGGCCTCCTTACTTGTAGGGTCAGCCATTTCTCTCCCCATAAGATACCAAGAATTCACAGACGTGTTAAAAAAATGGAATGCAGACACCTTGCCCCACCACTGTGAATATGACTGCCGGATTGATTTGCATCCCAATACCAAGATACTATTTGGGCAAATATATGTCTGAGCCTGAAATGGTAGCTCTTAAGAACTATATCCATGACAATCTGAAAAAGGATTTAATTCAACAGTCCGTCTCCCAAGCTGGGCCCCTGTCCTCTGTGCGGACTACCATGCCTTAAATAAAATCACTGGTGCAAAATCAATACCCATTACTCTGATTGGCTGGTGACCATATGTAAACTTCTTGCTTCCTTTCTAGCCTTGTCTGAGCAACAAGTCATTGCCCTCCATTTGTTGCTTGGACCTTGCTTGACCCACACCCATCCTGTTTTGCAGCCTCACCCCAACCACCAATTGCCTTGCTGTATCTTCCCCTTGGATTGGATATCCTGGCTATTGGACCTCTTGTATGAACTCTGACCACTCTTCTGGACTGCATTTCAACCTGCCTGACACCTGGGCATTGCAGCAGGCGAGACAAGCATGGTGCTCCTGGCTAGGGCAGAATCCTGGACCAAATGTTTCAAAAGTGACCTCTAATTCTAGATGCCCAACTTGAGACCCCTACAGACCTGGTTTTAGAAGTGCTGAGCACTCACATATCCCACTGACTTTGGTTGGGGTTGTAGATGACTAGCACCTCTGAAAATCAGGTTCAGGTCTCAAAAGGGCATCGAATTAATGGCCAGAATGCCAGAGTTTTTTTAAGTTTACCAAAAGCAGAAAACCTGCCAAACAGTCAGTGGGGTCACTGAATGCTCAAGGTGCTAAAGGAGCACTCAAGGAACACAAGGTTATTGCAGAGAAGCTAAATGAATCCTTTGCATCAGTCTTCACTGCAGAGGACATGGGGGAGATCCCCAAACCTGAGCCATTCTTTTTAGGTGACAAATCTGAGGAACTGTCCCAGACTGGGGTGTCTGTAGAGGAGGTTTTGGAACAAATTATCTGTTAAAAATAAGAAGTTACCAGGACCAAAGATATGAAATTGCAAAACTACTGGTATGTAATCTATCGCTTAAATCTGCCTCCATACCAGATGACTGGAGGATAGTTAAAGTAATGCCATTTAAAAAAAAAAAAGGCTCCATAGACGATCCTGGCAATTATAGCCCACTAAATCTAACTTCACTACCAGGCAAATTTTTGTTGAAACTATAGTAAAGAACAGAATTATCAAACACCTAGCAGGGATAGGCAACCTATGGCATGTGTGCCAAAGGCGGCACGCGAGCTGATTTTCAGTGGCACTCACACTGCCCGGGTCCTGGCCACTGGTCTGGGGGGCTCTGCATTTTAATTTAACTTTAAATTTACTTTACATACAACAATAGTTTAGTTATATATTATAGACTTATAGAAAGAGACCTTCTAAAAATGTTAAAATGTATTACTGGCACGCAAAACCTTAAATCAGAGTGAATAAATGAAGACTCGGCACACCACTTCTGAAAGGTTGCCGACCCCTGAG